AGGGGGGGGGGGGAGCAGCTATAAAGATGAATTTGACATACAGCTACTTTTGTTTTGTTTTAGTAGAGGTTTTACGGTGCTCGCAACTGCATAAGGTCATATGAGTGCCAGAAGATTAGAGGCGTTACAAGAGAGTAACAAACATAAAAAAAGAGTAGGGGAGATAAGGACGATAGATGTTTGATAGGAAAGAAGAAACAAACCACATCAGAGCACCTGCCAACCACCCACCAACATACAACTACTTTGAAAATTTAGTATCTGGTACCGAGTATAAGGCTAACATTTTGCTGCACTTGACGTGAAGTAACACTCTCGTGAAAATTTTGTTTTGACCATAAGTTTTTTCCCTGATAATGAATAGTTTTCTACTTCTGTGTATTACCTTGTAGTGGCATAGCCAAGATAACTGCTCAATTTCAAGTCTCTGTCTCAATTCTAAAACCCCCGTTGCAATGGAAACATGTTGCTCAACTTGGGAGGCCACTTTCTCCTTTCTGTGTTTCCTCACCTCGCACAATTAAAAGTTCCGTATCAATGATGCCTGTTCTCCAACCAAATATGTAGGTACCCCCCCCCCCCCCCACCCCTCCAACTCAGGAATCAAACCCGTGCCCTCAGCCCGCCTGCAACAACGGCAAAGGCCCTGAGCGCCCCATCACCGCAGCAGTACCTGCTACCAACGACCGCACACTCCAACCATTTTTTGTTCTAGTAAGAGTTTTACAGCACTTGCAACACAATAAGGTCAAAAAAGTGCCGAAGATTAGATTGTTTGTTTGTTTGTTTAGTATAGGGTTTTACGGCGCTCGCAACTGCATAAGGTCATATGAGCGCGCGGGACACACCTAATACTTTTTCGTTTGGTAGGAAATTTTGAATTTTGCCCGGGTGGCGGCCGAAGCCTACTCTTATCGATTTTAGACCACCAAGGGATCTTTAACGTGCGCAACTTGCACACGGGCCCTCCGAGATTTTTCGCCCTTGTCCGAGAAGGCTAGGTGTAGATCTTTCCTACCAGAAGATCAGGGGTGTGGCAGAAAGACAGCAGTAAGGAGGAGCCAAGGAGTAGCAGTAGAAAGGCTGCAGAAAGAGTCAGGAGCCCAGAGGAGGGGGCAAAGGAGGTGAGGGGGTGGGGGCAGAAAGTGGAAATGAAAGCAGACAACAGATCATTGTTAGAGATCAGGAAAGGATGTGAAAGGAGACAATTTTAGAGAGGAAAATTTTTTGGTCGCTACCCGGAATCGAAGACGGGACCTTTGAATGAGAGGCCAACACCTTAACCTCTAGGCCACGAGAGCCCCCCGAAGATTAGAGGTGTTACAATGGAGTAACAAACGCAAAAAAAAAGGAGGAGAGATAGAGATGATAGATGGGTTTTTTTAGTTCTAGTATGAGTTTTACGGCACTTGCAACACAATAAGGTCAAAAAAGTGACGAAGATTAGAGGAGTTACAAGAGAGTAACAAAAAAAGAGGAGAGACCAGGACCACCCACCAACCACCCCCCCATCCTACCTGATAACGTTGATCTGATGTCGGTCCAGTTTCTTCCTCAGCTCTGCGATGACGCTGTGTAGCTCAATGATTCTCTCCTCAAAACCACCCACCAACCACCCACACACACCACACACCCCCCACACCCACACACCACACCACCCACACACCACACACACTACCCACCCACCAACCACCCCACCAATCTACCTGATAACGTTGATCTGATGTCTCTCTAGTTTCTTCCTCAGCTCTGCGATCACACTGTGTAGCTCAATGATCCTCTCCTCGTAGCGTGACGTCAGTTGCTCCAGTCTGTCCTCGAAGTCGGAGGGGCCCAGCTTGTTCTCCGGGTGGTTCTGGAAAGGTCAGAGGTCACCAGGTTAAGAATCTAGAGTGGGTGGTTCTGGAAGGTCAGAGGTCACAAGGTTAAGAATCTAGAGTGGATGGTTCTGGAAGGTCAGAGGTCACAAGGTTAAGATTCTAGAGCAGATAGTTTTGGATTTTTCTCTTCACCTTTTCACAAGAGTTTTACGGCACTTGCACCACAATAAGGTCATATAAATGCCGAAGATTAGAGGTGTTACAAGAGAGTAACAAACACAAAAAATGAAGGAGGGGAGATAAGGACGATAGATGTTTGATAGGAAAGAAGGAGCAAACCACACCAGGGTACCCGCCAACCGCCCAACCTGCGGATAGTTCTAGAAGGTCAGAAGTACAAGGTTAAGAAAATGTTCTGCCCCCCCCCCCCCATCCCTCACCTGTTTCTGTGGGTCCAACAAGTTCCTGTCAGAGGTCAGCCGGTGCATGTGGTTCTTCAGCTCGATGACCTCGCCCTTCAGAGAAGTCAAGGCCGCGGCGTGGAGCTGGGGAGCGGACAAAATAAAAAGTTTCAATAAAGAAAAAAAAGAAAAGAAAGAAGATTTTCTTTAAAAGTGTACAGAAAAATAAAACCAAACACAAAAACAACCACCCCCCTCCCCCCCACCAAAAAACCTCTCAAAAAAACTAATATATATATTTATAAATAAATAAATAAAAATAAAATATAAAATAAAATTACAAAGTAAAAACAAGAAAAAAATAAAAAAATAAAGAAATAAATTTTTACAAATATCTAAAACATAAACAAAGTGAATAACCTCACACCCACAGGAGACTCAAACTCAAGACTTCTGCGTGCATTGACGCACCCCAGCCCCTCATGGTGTCAGTTGTGTGGACGGGAGGTGGGGTTTTTTTTAGTAGAGGTTTTACGGCACTCGCAACTGCATAAAGACATATGAGTGCCAAGGGGTGGATGTCGACAGAGAAGTCCTTACAGGGAATCAGACTTACTCTGCTCACCTCTTTAAGCTTCAACAGCACAAAGTCTGCTTCGACTATCAAGGCACCCCGTTTCAAACATGTGCCAAATATACAAAAGAAGTAGAGGGAAAATGACGATAGTAAGGATTAGGAAAGAAAAAGCAGCAGTTCCCTGTTGTAATTCAGGCACAGTTATGAGCATGACATGGATGAATCAGCCCATTTACAATTCTACTGTGCATAAAAACATGTTAATGTCCCCCTTTTGGGAATGGCCCAAAGACACTTCAGTGAGTAGCACCGCCCTGGGGGGTGTCAAGAGGGGGGGGGGGGGTGTAGAACATAAAACATGAGATAGTTTTCATTTGTGAGACAAACCCCCCTGGGCGGTGCCACTGACTGTAGTGTCTTTAGGACATTCCCAAAGGGGGGACATTTCTCGTTCAAGCACAGTAGAATTGTAAATGGGCTGACTCATGTCACGCTCATAACTGTGCCTGATCTACAACAGGGAACTGCTGCTTTTTCTTTCCTGATCCTTACTATTGTCATTTTCCTCTACTTCTTTTGTATGTTTGTCACTCTCTTGTGACCTGCTATTTCCGGGGAGCCTTGATAGTCGAAGCAGACTTTGTGCTGTTGAAGCTAGAGAGGTGAGCAGTCTAAGTCTGATTCCCTGTACAGACTTCTCTGATGACACCCACCCCTTGGCGCTCATATGACTTTACACAGTTGCGAGCGCCATAAAACCCTCTACTATATAAAAATAAAAACAATTGTGAGACATCGTTGTGAGATGAGGCACTCGTCAAAATAATGAAATCCGAGAAATCGGCAATCCTCGCCCAGTTTGGACATTGTTTTAGAATATTTGTTTTTTGGCCCAACACCGTGTATGTCCATTCAAAAACACCTTTATCTGTGGGTGATATGGACAGACGTTGATCCAAAAGTGTCACACTGCAGTGTCCAAAGACTCTTATATTACTCTTAGGACTCTTAAGCTATGGAAGTCACCAGACTTTGGCGGGGGGGCTCTCGTGGCCTAGAGGTTAAGGTGTTGGCCTCTCATTCAAAGGTCCCGGGTTCGATTCCGGGTAGCGACCAAAAAATTTTCTTCTCTAAAATTGTCTCCTTTCACCTCCTTTCCTGCTCTCTAGCAATGTTCTGTTGTCTGCTTTCATTTCCACTTTCTGCCCCCACCCCCTCACCTCCTTTGCCCCCTCCTCTGGGCTCCTGACTCTTTCTGCAGCCTTTCTACTGCTACTCCTTGGCTCCTCCTTACTGCTGTCTTTCTGCCACACCCCTGATCTTCTGGTAGGAAAGATCTACACCTAGCCTTCTCGGACAAGGGCAAAAAATCTCGGAGGGCCCGTGTGCAAGTTGCGCACGTTAAAGATCCCTTGGTGGTCTAAAATCGATAAGAGTAGGCTTCGGCCGCCACCCGGGCAAAATTCAAAATTTCCTACCAACGAAAAAGTATTAGGTG